TATCCACCGACTTACGAACTCCCGGACTTACGAACAAAATTCTAAATGCTCTAACTTGTTGCAAGGAAATAGATCTATCTGTTTTGTTGCATTTGTTACTTTTGTCGTTTTTTATCAAATAATTGTGATGTCTACATTGGAAAGTATTTGTAAGTAAGTATTTTGTTTATTTTAATCTATAAAAGTAAAAACCATGATAAAGTGTGGTAAGATTTTGAATTTTTTTAAGTTCCTCCCACTTACGAACAAATTCGACTTTGGAACCCTTTGGAACGGAACTCGAGGGATACCTGTATTTTTTTATTGTCACCAATTGTTTTTCTGTTTTTTTCTGGAGAATAAATTTTAAATTGATGAAATATTACTTTATTATAGACCTTTAATTTAATATATAAGTGAAATTAGCTAAACTATATTTATAGAATTTTTAGACGTCACAAGATTAGAATTAATTTTTACATTGTATAATACTTGAATAATACTAATCTATGATAGTACATAAAATCAATATTCTATTTATAGTTTAAAGTAATATGTGTCACAAAATTTAATCATTAATTATCTATATAATAACTTTAGCCTTAATTAATGTCTTAGTACTTAATCACAATAAATAATATAGGCAGTAATACTTATGGTCAATAATAACAATTAATGTTTTGTTTTATTATTATGATGTATAAATGTTTAATTTTTGCATTATTGAACACACATTATTTATGCACAAATATATTTTTTATGAAAATATGATGATATTTAGAAACAGTAATTTAAAAGGAAGATATAGACGTTTCTATGAAATAGATGACTATACAATTCTCGTTAAATAAGTCAAGATGATTGTAACATACGTCAAGGAATCTGAATCTTCTGTTTTCAATTACCTTAAAGAGACAAAATTCATTTGCAGATTATCTCCAGGTATTTGTAAATAAGGCACGATTCCTTCGAGATCTTCGAGTTTACATTGCAAATACAGACAACGGCTTTCAACATTTTAAATCCCTTTTAATAATATTTATACATTTAAGTCAATGGTAATCATTACATACATAACATTTTATGTATTTTTTGTAAACGTTTACGTTATATAAATATTATTTTTATTATTGATTGGGTATAATTTAAACATTAAAATAGCAATGTAATTTATGATATTAATTGAAATATATATATATATATAAATTGCAATTTGTATAAAATATAATATGACTAATAAAGCGTAATTTGTCCGGATTACTAGTTTGTACATAGGAAAGCAAGATGCCAGATGCACGAAACACCGTGATTCAGGTTTTCATATTTTGAATGAAAGGACTGCCAAGAAGCTGAAAATCCCCATGGCAATCTTATATCTTGGCCGGTCCGCTAAAAATTTATATTTGTAAATCCTATTTCCACGTATTCCAATTCATAACTTCGTTCGTCGCAAACAGAAAATACAAGTTTTCTCTCCATCAATGTTTGTTTAAATTACATAAATTTGCGGCTTATTCAGTTAGTTTTTAAAAGCGCGCATAAACTTACCGCAATGGCGCAGATAACGTTGCAAAGAAATAAATACAAAGTAGGAAAGAACTTGTACGCACGTGGAATGCATTAACATACATTAAATTCTATATGGCAAGCTTTTATAAAGAAGGAAATCTCTAATAGTGCCACGAAAAATGTAATGAAACGTGCAATTATTGACGCACGAGATTAAACAATGTCCACGGTGCGTATTTTATGTAATTCAACTGAACGTATTTGTTTGTTTGCGCAATTTCGCACGGGAAAGTGATAAAAATGTAGTACGATCTGTTTGATGTTCTCATTAACGTCAATTTGACTCAAACACTAATTGGACTGCTCAGATACGTGAAATCTGACGTTCACGTCTTCTATACTAATTACTGAATTTCCTGGAACACTCCAGCTCGAAATTTGATTAGTAAAGTTCGTAAAACGTAACTACCTAAATTATGCAACGTCACTTTGATCGGATGGAAATTTGTTTCCTTTTTTTTTTATTTTCTCAAAAAGAAAACCGCATTTTTCTAGTATGCATGCATCAAATGCATTATCATATTATACGTATTCCTTGGTGGATTGATGGTGTATTTATAAAACAATTCCATTATGCGCTCCACGCAAATATCTAACGCGATTATGTGACGACATGTGATAAAAATAAAAACTTCGTTATGAATGAAGTTCGCATTTTATTCAATGTCAGCAGGTAATTTCAGTGCTATCCATTCGGAATTTGTGCATCGCCCAATTACGTGAGTAATTTTCAATGTGCCGTACATTCCAATTGCAATCATTAGGACCAATTTATTTTTATTTATTTTTTTCATGCAATTTCACCAGTGTCATATATTGCACATCTAATTTCGACTCTACCTCGTGACATATCTTTTGTTAAGTCCATGTACGTAATTGCGTTCTGTATGTATGAAAATTGTAATTGCGCTGACTCTTGCTGCACAAGTCAAAACAAAGTCATTTGATAACGTGCGCCATAAATAAATGTGCTCGCAAACATCATCCGCATACGAATTAATTATAATTCACACACATTCATAACTTTTCCATTCGAGCTGATTTAGCTGCAATTACAGATAGAATCCCGATAATTGTTCGGCCGTTCTCAGCGCATAAATCAATTAGCACTGAAGATGCTCAGATATTTTAAGAATGGATAGCAAAAATATGAACGCAAATAGTAGTGACCATCGGGTATTTCATTTTTTTTTTGACAGATTACGAACGTTAAGCAACGTGTGTCACTACTAGAGTGGCTCTCTGCCAATTCGAGAATGGAACTCTAATAGAAACGAAACGAAAAACTTAATGATCACTTGACAGTGAAATATAACAATCAATGCATAAACGATGATCTAATTTGAATAAATTGCTACCGTTGTTTGAAGTCAATAAAGCATATTTAATTGCAATTCTGTCAAGTTATTGCACATTTAAATATTTGTAAATCTAATTATATGTGTTTCTTTAGCGCTCTGTGCAATTATGACATTTTATATTTAAGGTGTGAGCATTGAGGCTCATAATAGGTGAGACATTTCTACTTGATGCAATGGATTAAACATTATTTTATAACTGCAATGCACTTGTTGTTAATATCAAAGAAAGATTTATGTAGCACAATTTTAGTTTTCCGTAGAATAATATATCAATATTATATAACATGTTTTTTTTATGCAAACTTTCAACCAATAATTAATTATTATATAATACAATTATAAATATTAATTACTAATATCTTAAGCAATGTACACAATTTCATGTACAAGATATAAATCCAAACTATCAGTTTTAGTTGGAGTTATTGAAAATATACATGTTTCATGCATATGCAAGTTTTAATGATTTTAAATTATAGTCACTTGATCATTTATCTTTTATGTCTGAATTGGTTGGATGGTTTTATGGTAGACTTGTGTACATAATTGCATATTATAAAAACCTGTAATTTAATATTATTACTTTGAATAAAACTGCACAATATTTGAGTTTGGATCTACTAAAATGTTTTGACGATGAAGATGAAAATATGAAAAATCATTATTCGACTTAAATTTGAAATATAGAAAAACAAGTATTTCTAAATATAGAACGAATGGGTTATCGATAAATGAATGAATCACTTCAATGGCAGTATTACCTCAGATGTTTTTCCACGCACTCGTCAACTGACAAGTATTCTGTAATATTATATTGTTCCATATAATTTACATTTACAAGATCCATGTGATATAAGAAGACATTCTAAACAGATATTATACAGTAGTGTGGCCACATTATAAAAGCTGTTCGTTTATCTGCTTAATCATAAAAGATAAATAAAATAGAGTTATTGTTATCAATACATACTAAAGTAGGTAGTGTAGATTTCCAGTTCCATAGGAAATACTTATAACTGATATTGAAACGTTTGAAAGTCAAATGTTAATCGCTACACAATAATACAGTGATAAATTCGTTATTTTTAGACGTTACTTTTGGATATATTTAACTGCGGTCTTTCGCAACGGATTGTGCAAACCTGACTCGCGTTGAACAAGAAAAAAAATGCAGAAAAATCGATTAAATTGATTTCATATAATTGTCGCGTCGCTTATATTCTCGTTCTTCTACTTTACGAGGCATTGTTTGTTCTCGGCAATGTCAAGTTAATTCATTACAACGAATGTGTATGCATTGTGATGCAGACATATAGATTAAACTGCATTAGGGACATCTGGAGACTGACCTCTTGCAGAGGCCAATATCCGCCACCGATAGAAAGCAAAGATAGTCTCACTCGTAATATTTTTACTTACAAACGAATGCTTCATACAATGCTTTTCTTCCGTTTTAAAACGAGTTTATTACTTATCTAGCATCAACGGAAATAGTAAACCTAATAAATGAATTATTAATGTATTATTATTATTAATCATTTATGAAAATAGATGTAATAAGGGGATTTCGTGTTAAAAGGTTTGTTCTAATATATAGGATTAATGAATGTATGAAAATAAATGTGTTCATAATTGCCGAACATAGGAGAGTTGTAATTAATGAAAAATTGGTTTTCCCTACAATAAGTAGCAAATTTTATAAATAGTTTAGAGCAATTGTAATTTACTTTCATTTATCATCAGCATTATGGTTTTGAAATGTTTAATCAAATCGGAATGTTTGGTCACTTATTTGTTGAATATGAAACGTGAATATTAAACAATTTCATAGAAATTGCGCTGTTTGGAGGATGATGTTTTGCTGTTTCAATTTTTATTTCGTAGTTTGGGAGACACGTGTATGTAGATGAGCGAAACGGTGACAGTGTTTACAAACACCGAGCAAGAGGTTGGTTGGTAGGAGTGATCAGCTGATGGTATATGCGAGCGAGTGTTATTAAATTGAAAGGGCGCGTACTTTAAACCTGACCTAATCCAATACGAATAGTTTTGGTCGCTCACGAACCAAAGGACCTGCAGGAGCACACTTACCAGGAATTTTCCTGATTCTGATTGAGATTTGTTTTGGAACATCCCGAAGCTCTCTGCCGCAGGAAAGACTGCAGTTTCTGCTTTACTTCGGTGGACGCGATAGCGCTCTCCTCGTGCTTCTCCTTCTTTCTTAGCGCCTCCAGTTGCTCTCGCTGCCTGATGTCCTGCAGCTGCTTCTGCTGGTCCCAGAACTCTTTCAGATGCTGCCGAAGCTGCTGCTCGTGCTGTTCGGCCAGATGCTGCTGCTGCTGTTGGAAGTGCTGCAAAAGTATCTGGTGCTGCAACTGGTGCTGCTTCTTGAGCTGCAGGATCTGCTGCTCCAGCAGTCTCTCGGGTGCCTCTCGCTGCTCTGCCATGGCCTTCTACATCACTTTTGAATTGAATAAAAACACACAACACACCGATCACAGCGCACAAAATGGCAGCAGTACTTCTGTCAGAATTAATTCTTTAATTATGTGTGGTGAGGTCATTTCGGTCGCTCTCCGATGTTACGCTGAATATAGGAGCACACTGGCGGCGCGTCACTCAGCAGGCAGCAGCAGGATAACCAGCTACAAAGCGATGTTGCCAACAGACGATCCTCTACGTGAACCCACACGCAATCGCGCTCCAAACCATACTCCCGTCCGTGTTACCATCCGACAACTCTCGGCCTCCTGTTCCTGCTGAAACCACCAGTTTCGAGCTGTTGCCACATGTCCACGCCAAATACCCTGACACCAGTTTCATCAAACCTAAAACAATCCTGCAAACAATTTGACGCTCCAATATTACAACACAATCAGTGGCGGATTCGAGTCCTTACACAAATTATTTTTGTGGTACCCCCAATAATACTAAAAACAATAATCTATTTTAAATACTATAAGATAATTTCAAAACAAGACATTATCTTATAGTCTAAACCCAAAGTCTGTGGCTCCTATAGACGTGCCTCATTGTCTTTGCCACTGACTACAAGCAATATCATATACCTTCAGCAAATGTAATAATGAAATAGAAGCAAGAAAAACCAATTAATTAGCAATAATAATAGCTATAGCAATATATTTAGTTTTCAGCTAAATATTAATTAATTTCAAAACTAGAAGATAGAAATAACAAATTATTAAAGTTTAAGTACAAAAAAAACCTATTGATATTTTAAAAAACATGTTAATATCAATACGTTATTTAACAGTAATACCTAATAGAAGGTATAGGTGATAGGTCATAAAAAGTAAACTTGACAACAAGCTTGAAATGTACACGGACAAACGAATAAGCCCCACCCAATCTTATGTGATAGAAAGAGCAAGCTAGTCACGTGTCGTCAGCCACATGCAACAGATTATTATGTTTTTATCGCGGGTCGAATGCGCGGCAACGCTGCCCGGAATGTAAAACACCAAGGTTGAGATAAATATAGAAAATCTTTATTATAAATAAATCCATTTTTTTGTGTGCGCTCTCGGAGCGGTTCACAAATAGAACCACCCGATGCGCGCTAAACGCACATCGCGAACACCAGCAGGAATCATATTGTGAGAAAAGAAATAGCAAGAAAAAAAAATATAGAACTAAATAGCAAAAGCAACATATACATATATAGAATGAGAACTGGATTGCTGCAGGTTTGATTGAGAGTGGCATCAAATCTTCGAGATGTCGACCGTTGGTTTCAGCGGGGTCCACGCCTGCAGGATCCTCGTCAGCTCGGAAATCTGAAATTTCGCGAGATTTTCAGTATAGATCCGTCCTGTGCGCCTACCACTTGTTTAATATGTCAGTTATAACTAGAACTAGCGAATATAGAATGGAGTTATAAATAAAGCAGACTCCACGCTAAACGCTCCACAGTAACCAGTTATGGGCTATTTTTAATATGCGAGGGACACTAAAAACTCCATCGCTTATCTAAATATAAAAATAATACTTATCTAAACACGAAAACGAACATCTAAATATATAGCATGTCTTAATATATAACTGCCAAACGATCCTTTTGTTTCCAATCCATGTACAACTTGTATTGTTTTTTTTGTTGTAATTGATCAAACCTATCCCAACAACCATCGTTTGAATTCTTGACAAACACAATGCGCACTAGACTCACATTATTATTGTTTATCACAAATAATAAACACATTTAAGATATCTCAGACATTGATATCAATAATGATCATTATTTATTAATAACATTTGTTATTGATTCAAAACACATGTTATCTCATATGTCTGTCTATTATTCAAATAAATACGAACATCGTTTATACCCACCCATCAATCAATATTATTTAACATGACATTAAATAAATAAATTATACTACCTAGATTATTTTGTCTTTGAATGAGTTTCTTATGTTGAACAATTTATTATACTTAATGAAAATACTATTTTTTTATTTTATTACTTTACTTTTATTACTTTTGTACTAAAACTCGATTATTGAAAGTCAAACTTTTGGTAATATCAATATTTGATACATCAACCCTGATATTTTCAACCCTATTCTGTATATCACGATAACTAGACAGATATGAATGTACATTCGCTCGGGACTGGCGTGTGTATAATAGGGGGGCAATGAATCGAATGTTGAAAAAATCGGTTCCAAATTTACGCGTCTCGTAAAATGCGAGTGAAGTGCTTCCGCGTCTTAAATTAGTTGAGCCAAAGATTGCGCGCGGAAGCATACTGCCTCCACTACCACCTAAAAATGTTAACGATTGCTAGTTTTTGGCAATCAATAATCGATAATCAGCCGGATGTTGAATTGGGTAATCCTGCTGGGTTCAATTACGTAGCATTTAAATAATTATCGCCCTGCTAATTGTGTGGCAGTTGAAACCAGATTATTTATTGGACCCGCAACGTCATAACTGACGTCGTGACAATAAACAAATCCGTTATAATTTGTTATGTACCTGTTCTATGTAAATATGGATAATCATTAGGGTTTATTCTTTTTATGCTACGTTTTCTCATCATCGTTTTATAAGAATATTTATACAAATACACCCATTACTCATGTTTATTGATTTAATAATAACGATCGGAATTGGTAAAAGTTGTATTCAATATGTTTCGTCCTAAACTTGATTTTAATCATTTGATTACTTACAGATTATTGAATGTTTCATAATCATATTATGCTTGTGTACTTAAAGCATTATGGATTTTATGAATATTTTTTTTATTATTTGCAGAAACATTATTTCATGTAAACTAAAAATGTTATTATTTTAAATATATTATTGTGAGACGTTTAACAGTTATAGTTTATATTTAAGTACTGCAGTATAATTTTTATTATAGCAGTAAATAGTTGATGGTATGAGTTAAAAATCAAAGTAATAACTTACCGCAGGATCATCTTCAGAACTCAAATTATCGACGTATTTCTGGATTCTAGCAATCTGCACAGGATAATACTTAGTGTGTTTCACTAATTTTAGAAAACGTCTAAGGAAGTCGATAAACTCGGGTTGCTTGGAGCACTGTTTACACTCGAAATTGATCATATATATGTTGTGAATGCTCGTAGCTAAACTCGATTGTTCCCTCAGTAGGTATATCAATAATCTGTAAACAATACCACTGAATTTTCCATTTCTCAACATAATAAGCTTCTGATGAAGATCAATGGATGGATATTTCAAAGTCAGCAAAGGCATATTTTCTAGATTCTTCAGAATAGTTTGCAGCAAATTCAATGCATACTCCAGTCGCATATCCGAACCAGTTATGCAAGGTGAGAAATCGAATTCTATCAAATCTCTACATAGATTCAATTTGTGCATACACTATGAAATTATAAAAAAAAAATATAATTAACAAATACGCTCAGTAAACAATATAAAATACTTACTGATATTTTTATAATATTTCTAAGTAACTTCATTCCAACTATGCTAATTTCTTCATTAGATCGTTGTGATAATTTCAATAAAAACAGGAAAAATTTATCGGACAAAAAATGTTTTAAAATTATCGGATTCATCTGATTATTCATCAACATCTTCAAACAATAACTGCATATCTCCTGTAGTAGATTTTCGTTAATTTCAGATTCGATTATTTGCAAAAATCTTTCAATGACGAAGCAACAGAAATTAATATCATTTGAAACAGACGGTTTCAATAGCAAAATCGAATATAAAAGATGTTGTTCCTGCATTACTTTTGGTATATATTCCACTATATCGGTATGTATTGATCTATGACTCAATTGCATTAATAACTTGATAACTCTTAAATTGAAAATGAATAAATTTATTATTTTAAATAAATATGCTTTACCTTACCTGGTTTGTACTTCATTTTCTGTAGTGAGAATGAATTTGGTTAGCAAATATTCCGACCTTGAGCTTTGCATACAACTTAGCAATACCGAATCATCAGCGGAGTTATGAAGCCACAGCGATATTAGTCTTTGTTTAAAAAATGCACTGCCTCTACTTAGTAACCACAATAATTGTGATTTGTGATACGTTAACATTGTGCAAATATTTGACTTTTGAAATAAATGAAACAGATTTTTATCCAAATTGTAATCCACTATTTCATTCTTCTCCGCAACATGTACTGAATATAACAAGTACATAGATTTCTGCACAGCTGGATTGGTAGGAAAGCCTTTTTTAAATCTATTGATCAACGCGGCATGGATATATTTTGATTCCTGGCTATAGCTACAAATTTAGAAATTATATAATGTAAATAGATTAAAACAAAAAACTTACTTTAGGTACATTAATTCGATATAATAAATTATAAAAGAAAATTGGTTATCGAATCTTGAATATTCCATGAAAGTCTTGATTAATGAAAAAAGATCAGCGTTATTTAAATTTAAATTCGGAAAAATGTAACTCATCATTTTCAGAAGAATGTCAATAACTGTATGGTTGTATTCCTCGAAATTTAGATTGTATAAAAGAAAATGAATTTTCTTTATTAATATCTTCATAATAGATTCAGTATTTTTGTAGGATGTCAATATTTTGGATATTGCATCAAAGAACATTGAAAGACTTAATTCGCTGTTTTCCTAAAAAAACATAATCATTCTTTTTGCGAAATGCAGTTATTAACTTTGATATTTACCTCGCTCACATATTTCGTGCCTAAGATTATGAAATCATTGAACGTCTCGATTTCTGGTAAAACCGACTGCTTCCTGGAAAAAGCATTACTTTAATTTCATTCAATTACCAAGTTAATCGATCGCACCGCAATATTGCGTCAACTATTTGGAATCCGTGGATGTAATCTTTCTCCAGATGAACAAACAGTTCCGTCAAACAATCATTGTAGTTAGTTTTGTCTATTAAATTCAAATTTTCCATATCAATCATCTCCAAGAATATCTCGCAGCACATTTCGTTTGTTGATATATGTTCAGTGTGCGAACTCTTTAATACTGTACTTATAATCTCACATATTGTGTCTATATTAACGACAAACTTATCGGATTTCAATCTAAAATATAGTTATTTATATTAAGAGTATACTTAAATGCAAACAACTATATTACATACTTTGATAATATTTTTTTGAACGTTTTTAATAACAACAATAAAGTTTCGGTGTGATCCTCTTGCCTCACAAAGAAGTTTAAATTTCTCATTATAAAGTCTACCGAGTTTGACATATTGCAAAGTTCCATCTGATCGCTTTCCCAGAAATGCTCCAAAATTTTTGAATTTAATCTGTAAATTAAAATGTCTAGTTGTAGGTCACCATTATGTTAAAGTTTTGTAATGTTTACATAATGATTTGATGGTCCATTCCGTCCAATTCTGGCAATTCGTGGAAAGGATAACACTTTCTTATTTTATCCACACGTCTGAATTCTTCGTTATCATTTTCCAATAAGTTGACAACTTTTTCCAGAATGCTTACATCCAATATACTAAATGTTGCCATTCTAAAAACTCAATATAAGTTGTCTTAATACGAATAATATATAATATATATGAATTAGTAAGGTATTATTCTTTATTGATTCCATTTTATCAACAATAATTATTAAAAAAATGTAGAAACAACAACTGGTATAATTGAATAAGTAATAAACTATAAATATAACTATTTTGGATTACTCTTCTAATATAAAACGGATAATTGTACATAATTAGTAATTTGAATATAATAAAAAGTTATCTCAAATGGTTGTATACAATAAATAATATTTATAATAAAACTTTTAGTGGGTGTAATTTAATTGAGCTATTATGTATGCAACCAATATTACACGAGTGTTTCAAATTTAAAAAAAATACCGTTGCTACAATTTTACATTGTTAATTGCATTATATTTTACATATTAGCAAATACTCTACTAATTTATTAAGTTTAACAATGAATACCACACAATAGAAATCATTACAAAAAAGAGTAATAACATGTGTTGTTACTATGTTATATATAAAATAACACGAATTTTAATTAAATTACGAAGCTTATTCTAGTAACGGAAATATACTTACTTTTTGAATATTTAGCAAAAAACAGGATTTATCTAACTGTACTTCTTAGTAATTCACAGCTGTTTATACACTCAACAAACAACTTGAAACAAATGTTATTTTTGCAGCGCTATTTTGACAATCTTTGATATTAATAATAAAACATTAGAATAGCTTTGTTGCAATGATTACTTACCAAGCTAATAAAACAAAAGAAAGAAATTGTTTTTTGTTTCACAGTAAATAGATTTTCAAATAACAATGAACAAAAAATATCTAATAAAAAATGTTTTTAATAAACAATCCAAAATAATAGACAAGTTTTTGTTGATGTTCTTAATATGGAATAAATCTATACATACATAAACCGATTTGATTTAAGCTCATAAATGGTAAAAAAATTAACTAACTTTAATAAATGAGTTGCTATAGATTATTGTGAAATCGAAAGTTAATTAATTATCTCCAAATATAATGATTTTCCTATACAAAAATGGGTTAATAAAAAGATCATCCATAATACTGTATTACTTTTATTTATTATCATATTCCAAAAAAAATATATATAAAATAATCGAAAAATTATAACCAAAAATAGTATTAAAAAAAAATGTACAGTATGTATTTTGTGCTTGTTACTTTTTTTTTACACATATTATTTCTCACCTTAAAGGGACACTGAGGAGGGTTGGTACTATGAATTCACTTTAAAGATTAATTCAAAGGATTTGTACATACAATTATTTAAAACAAAGAATGATTAGAGACTAGAGCAGAGTCCGAAGGAGTATTCTTTCATTATCAAAGAAGTAATAATTAATAATAAAAAAAAGAACACTTCATGATTAAACATATCTAAGAAAGAACGCGTTGCGTTCGTTTTGATTCCATGTGAAATAACGGTGTAAAAAATATAGTTTAAAATTAAAAAATAACAAGAAAAGAAGGACACGTTAAATCATAGAGAGCGTGATAATTGGATATGTCGTTGGTATCAAAATTACCATATAGATCTACGTTTAGGATGTTTTGTTGAATTGGGGAGGGATAAGGAGGTTTTTTTTTTTTGTTATTTGAAGAGATTCTTCTGTTGTTGTTGTTTTTTTGCACTTACGTACATCAACATTGTAATACCATCTTAGGGAAAGGGGATTGGGGGGATGGATACTGAGCAATTATGAACGGATTCTTATCGCCTGAAATCATCATCATTATATATCTACTTGTGCCACTTGAAATACCGTCTCTTA